AATCCTCAGTCTGTCCAAGAAGCAATGTTCCACCAAGGAATGGGAGGAGAAAAAGGGCTTCCACCAGGCATGATGATGGACATGCAGAGAATGATGGGTCACCAAAGGGGGGGAATGGAGCCAGGAAATGGGATGGGTATGTTTCCCCGCATGCCCGGAGAGAGTCCTATGAGCCCCTCATCGAGGCTTCAGGGAATGGGAGGCAGAGATATGGGGCCTGACTTTGGCATGGGGCCTGGGCCTGGCCCTGGCCCACATATGCACCCTTCAAAGCTGAGAGAGCCTCCAATGAACATGAGTCCAGATGAAATCATGAGACTGAGAGCAGGCGGAGGGCCACCCATGGACAACATGGGTCCACAGGGCAGGCCTATGCAAGGGCCACCCTTCCCAGAGCAGGGGCAGCCAGGAGACTTTCCTATGGGACCTGGGCGGCCCTTCCCCGGTGGGCCAGGAGGAATGAGGGGTCCACATGGAGACCAGAGCTTTGGCCCAGAGCACAGAGCTACACCAACAGGGGGTAACGGACGCATGAACCACCTCCCCTCTGGGCCTGGGCCTGCACAAGGACAAAGGGGCCGTAAACCCGCTGACCTCAACGTCCAGGCTGGAGGAGGCAACTCCCCCAGCGTCAACCCACTCAAGTCCCCTCCTCTGAGACAGGTCCAGTCACCTATGATGGGCTCCCCCTCTGGAAACCTGAAATCCCCCCAGACACCGTCCCAGCTGGCAGGCATGTTGACTGGTCCGACAGGCCCACCTGCCCCTCCAGCACCACCAACATCAGCACCCATGAAGTCCCCCCACTCCATGATGGGCTCAGCAGGTGCCTCTCCTGTTCATATGAGGTCTCCGTCTCTTCCAAACCCATCTCCAGGATGGGCCTCTTCACCAAAGCCGCCCATGCAGAGTCCTGGGGTGCCACCTCAGGGTGGCAAGCCTCCGCTCAGTATTACCTCACCAAACATGATGGGCAACATGGAGCAAGGTATTATTCATTATTCATTTTGAAATATCAATATCATATAAATTAAACTATATGAAGGGTAGATTTCTTTCTCATTTGTTATTTGAGTTATAGAAAAGTTTATACTTCAAATTCCTAAATTCAAAAACAATTTAACATCTGAAAATGTGCAGAAGCCATGTAAACAACACAAACAGATAGCATTGTCAGAGTAGTTACCAAACATGTATTACACGCAATCATTGGAGATGGCTAATGGTACAGTAGCTCCCTCTTGTGGCCTTTGAGCACAGAGCACAAATCTGTATAAAAAATCTGCAGATTTGGGGCTGTACTCGGTTGGCTCTTTTGCTTTTGGTCACTGACTTGCAGGTGACTCTCCTGTACTTAGTTGATTTAATCAAATGTGCTGCCACAAAGTGAATTTTATAAACATACACAAATCTTATACACATCTCATACAAAAAACATTTTTTTCAATATCAGAATATTAAATTACAGGGCTAGTGGAACAATGCTGTTTACACTATGCTACTGAATTATGATCATTTCCATCTGTGTCTTGACACCAAACTCCCAACACTTATCAGTAATGACATTTTCCATTTGAACGTTTCTAATATAGTTGGGAATTATGATGATTTATTTAATAACTTTAACGTTGTTTGGTGCTGTCACCAATCACAGCACTAAATCATCAATAATGGCATTGAGAATTTATTCAGTCATTTGAGTTTTTGAATATTCATATTAATAAATCACCCTAATCTACTACTTAAAAACCTGTTGCATTGAAACACTATGTTTCAGGAGGCAAAGGTAACAGTTGTACTAGATTTAATATGTCATTACTGCTTACTACTGTGAATTTAGTGAAACAAAATTATGTAAAAGCTTAGGAGATTGATATTTATAACTGGAACTTGACATCAGTTGTTATAAAAGTTTAGATAAAAAAAAATCCTAAAAACCGATCTGATGAGTATATTTGTTTTGTCCTTCACAGGTGGTAACGGTCCTCCCTCAGCCCCTCCTTCATCAGGAGCTCCATCTGGACCCATGTCTCTCCCAGGCAGTGTCCCGTCTGGCAGCCCCTACACAATACCCCCGGAGCCCACGCTATCTCAAAACCCCCTCTCAATCATGATGTCACGCATGTCCAAGTTTGCCATGCCCAGCTCCACCCCACTCTACCACGACGCCATTAAAACTGTGGCCAGTTCTGACGATGACTCGCCGCCTGCCCGATCTCCCAACTTGCCTTCTGGGAACAATAACGGTAATATCTACTCACCAAAAGCAGCAATCACATGATGATTTTTAATCTTTGTATCATTGATTAATTGGACTTAATTTCAATCAGTTTGAATTCTTTCAGCTGTTTTACTCGTTATTAAAAGCTTATTTTCTGAGTGTGACTCATGCTAAGTGACTATTTACACCCACAGTATATTATCTGGTTTGTGTATTAGTTTCTACATGTATTATGTCAAGATGTTGATCTTTTTGTTCTGTATATTCTCAGGTATGTCAATGAATCACCAAGGCAACCCGCGGATGATGGGACCTGGTAGCTCGGGACCCATGCCAGCTCTTAGTCCTCTGGGAATGAATCCTATGGGGTCCCAACCTCTGTCCCATGGACTCCCTCCACAGATGCCCTCTCCGAATGCCCCCAACATGGGTCCAGGCATGATGCCTCATGGAATGATGATGCCTCAAAACCCCCAGGATCCTGGCATGGCAAATCCCCAAATGATGCCACAACGCATGGGCTACCCGCACCGGAACCCGGGATATCCTCTAACGCAGTCTCCTTCCCAGCAGGGACCTTTCTCCCCACACAACGGCCCTGGTCCACAAGGCTTCCCCGGCCATCCCATGGGTTTCCAAGGCGATGGAGGACCTATGGGTGGACGAATGGGGAACATGCCTCATGGGGGAGGGGCTGATGGGGGCATGTGCAAACCAAACACACCTGGAGGACCTGAGTTTAACAACATGCCAGGTGGATTTAGCGACGCAGACCTTCATGAAGTCATGCGCCCAGGAGCGTCCGGTATTCCTGAATTTGATCTGTCCAGGATAATCCCTTCTGAAAAGCCCAGCCAGACTTTGTCTTATTTTCCGAGAGGAGGGGGAGACAATCCGGGGGGCAAACCGCCGCACCCGTCAGGCTTCCCTATGCAGGGCATGATGGGTGATGGTCCTCTGAGGATGGGGATGTCCATGCAAGGAATGGGTGGGATGCCAGGGGGGCCAGGTGGAGGAATGGGCCCCCAAGACATGGCGATGGGAAATCCCGGACACAATTCTATGCGGCCGCCGGGATTCATGGGCCAAGGAATGATGGGGCCACAGCACCGGATGATGTCACCAGGGGGCCCAGGCGGGATGATGCAGGGTAGACAAATGGCCCACCCTGGTCCAGGCGGCTCACCCAACATGATGATGTCGCTGCAGGGCATGGGTGGTCCCCCTCAGCAGACAATGATGATGGGAGGTCAAATGAGGCCTCGCGATATGGACATGGGCTTTAGTCCTGGCCCTGGAATGTTCTAATCCAACACAAACTTTGTATCTAGAATGTTCTCGGACTAATCAATGATGGAGTGAAGACTCAATGGTATTAGGACAAATCTGACAGACTCACACATGATATGAGAGGATTTATCCAGAAATGAATAGAATGGCGTTTATGTCCGATATGGGAACTATTGCAGTGTAACTTTGTACTGGCCCAGACAGGAGAACCTTGCCACAACATTTGAAATTGGCTCATGAACTTAAGAATGTAAGGGATTGTTGTGCATCAATTTTGCAAATCTGTTCTTGTGTTTTTTGATTATCTGACTGTAAAGTTGACTCCAACTTCAAGAGGAATCAACACTTAAAGTCAGTGTGGAGATGCTACAGTATATGTCTACTTTTGCATATAAAAAACAGATTTGTCCAGAAAGTGGTATGGAACAAGAGAAAGGAATAAGAATTTGTGCTTCGTGAAGAAATTAGTGGAACTCCATCTTGTCTCTGGCTCCATTGTTTTGACTGTTTCTGTACAGTGTATCCGTGTGCGGATGGGCGGGTGAATGTTTCACAGACTGTGTGTTTGTGTGTATGTGTATGTATAGGCATCTATCAGTGACCTCTCAAATCCTCCTTCCCAACTTTCATTGGGGGAGGAACGCCCCCTAAAATACTGTACTGTTTACCATTGGTGGGCTATTCAAATTTTAGTCTATTTTAATTTTCTTTGTAACTCCAGTGTATAACAAACCAAACTATGACCTCATTAAGATAATAGTATTATTAAAAAAGCACAAACATGGACCGTTTGCAGAAAGCGTCTTCTTTTTCTATTTTTATCAGTGAACACAACGCATAAAGCGGGAGGATCCTGGCAGCACTGCAGCACAATGATCTTCAAGTCCTATTTGAAAATGTGACCACCTTTTGATGAACGCTTCAAAACTCACAGGGCTTCGTTGCCAGTGTGAGGAGTCCTAATACCCAGATGTGCTGTGTCTTTCTTGTTCCCGTCGTTTTTGGCTCTTGTTGACTCTGGGTAAAAAATCATTCCCACAGCAATAATCCCCCAATGGTCAGCAGATAGAAACAGGAGACAAGAGAGCTAAATCTAAACCTGATTGGCATCGTTTAGTGTGGGTGTTTGGTGTCAGGAGAGGGCACAAATATAAACGCATACTGCTTACCATCCAGTTGGCTTCCTTTTTCTCTATTGTATAAGCTTGTCATGTGTTCTCCATTGGCTTTGGTGCAGAAAAGCCTTCCAGGGCTGTGGTGATGGACTACAAATAAAAGATATTGTTTTGGTATATACATGTTGTCTGTTGAGTGTGCTGTGCATGATGTGATTGTGTAGACAAACTGTTTTGAGTCTGCACATCTGAACTGACCAGCATCTGTTCACAACTTTGATCAATTTGGGCAACTTTTGAGCAGTTGCATTTTCCCAAAGATTGCATACAACTGTTTAGAGGAGAGTGTGATTCAGTACAAAAAGAGCACAATCTTTAAATATTTCTAACATGCTTTAATATACAAGTTTTAAAACTAAATCAAGCACCTCAAGCTGTCATGATGTCAGGATATGTCATAATACATAGAGCAAATGTTTTTTGGTTAACTGACTCATATCCAGAGGTCTATGGTTCAAAGTGCCAGACGGGACATGGAAATTAAACCAAAGTGCTGAAGTGTACAGCTGAAGGTACAGGAATTTACAGATAATAGTGATAATACCACTGACTGTATCTAAAATAGCATTTTACTTAATTCAATACAGATATTGTATATCATAACTGCTGGCCAAGGGGTCTTAAAACAAGAAAATTTTGGGTGCAAGTTGAAAACATAAGAGTGATGTAAACTATTTAGGTAAATGCTCTGTGCTATTGCAAAGTGACTGGTAATGATCAGAGCTCAGGGAGTGAGCTGAGAGAACCTGTTTGAATTCCTGGAGGGGGCAGTAGACTCCACTGCATCCAGGAAGTAACTGGTCCTAAAGAGATCAAAAACAGTTGAGGACCAAAATTGGAAATGATGTACAATTATATAAGCACAATTATGAAAGTACAATCACTTACCTGGCCTATGTATGAGACTTTGACATAGGCTTCATTGGTTTGTCTGTGTTTGTACAGCTCCAGGGTGATGTCTGCAGCATACGGTGGCCATCTCATGTCAAAGATTCCCATGGCCATGAGACATGGGATTAGCGTGGTGTCATGTACAGAGTACAGCAACAACTTCCTGCATTTTAGAAAAACATGTCAATTATAACCATGATTCTGTGTCCACAAAAGATGCTTCTTTTATAACATGTCTCACCTGTTCGGCTCCAATGAAGCTCTCTGCAGTTTATCTTCAATGTTGCTTAATACAATATGCAACAGTGGACCTACACACAGCTGCAAGCTCTCCCTGTCATCAATGTAAGGTCAATATTATACACAGACAAATGTACTCATATCCATATCCTTAACTCTGTAATTTTAACCTTTTTTCAGGGTTATAGATGTAACACATCATGTCAACAGCTCTCTGCTCCACTTTATTTCTCCAAGTGTCCAACGCTGGAGGGCAGGGGAGGCCATGAGTCTGTAAAAAAAAAAAACAGTTAATTACCTTGTACAGATTATACCTTACTAAAGGGTATAGTGAAATTTAATCAAATGAAAACTATAGTAATAGGCAAACAAATTCATCAAATTCAATTGAAACTAAATTATGCTTGCTTTTTGTTTCTAGGCTGTCATTTCCAGCCTGTCTACTTAAAAATAACCTGTGTATTTTTGGGAATAGTAATATGAATCATGATGTGGCACTGTCACCTCTCTGGCAACCATGTCGTCCCTAATGAGGATGAAGTCGACTTTCTGCGCCACGGCCGCGATGCCCAGCGCCTCCTGTATACTCCGCAGGTCGGCCGCGATGTCTGGCAGCGCGGACGACTCTGCCCAGCGGGGGCTGCACACAACACACAATACACACACTCAGATACACAACACACGCTCAGACCCATAGCACAGATACTGGATGACAACCTGTCAGAGAAAGCTCAACTCTGCGTCACAATTGCACAACACATTATTCAAGATTTCAGTTGTGAATGGTGAGCATGGGAGGACTTGACTGGTTTCAAATTAAACTCATACCTACCCGCCAAGAATTTTGAGCAGCTTGCAGCCACGGAAGTTTGGGTATAGTATTTCAGTTTCAGCATCCGTGGTTAATATCGGCAAAATCTCTATAAAAGAAACAAAGCATTGCAAGATGTTTACGGTGCAATAAGGGCCATGGCAAACTCACTGTACACTGTTCACCCAATATGGACTTTTTATCCCCTTTATTTCTCAAATTATTTTCCCAGTCTATAAAATTATAATATATTTATAATATTTTGGGTATTTTTGGATATTTTGAGTTGATATTTTTTGGACATTGAAGAGGAATCATGAAATGGCATTGATAACTTTTTCCCAACTTATTTTATTGAAGCAACACATTGAGATTTACATAGCTAAACCAGGTCTAGAAGTTAAAGTTCTACCATTTAAAATTTTTTGCCATCATCAAATTGTCAAGTTGTGACTCCCACTCCAAACTGTTCCATGAGAAATGAAGGATTTACAGGAAGCAAGCAGAAAATTGGGAGAATAACTTTACAATAATGGTTTTAATGTAAAAGATGTGTTTTCTGGTATTTAGTAATATTACTTTTTTGTATATTGTATTCTTTATAAACCCCAGTATTGATCTGAAACGGATTAATATAATTAGAATTAGAAAAATTAGGAACAGGTCCACTGACTTCCTGTTCAAAACTGTACTTCCTATTCTCAGTTTCTGTCATTTTAATAATACACCATAGGTCCAAAATAAGGATGTCACAATGTCCAATTTTAATGTTTGGCGATAGTTGACTCCATGAAACGCACTTGACTTGATTTAGGTTCACTTTGTAAGAGTATAGACTGAATTGAAATGATGTGCTTCCTTGAATTGTTATTTTGTAGTAGTTACACTTCGATTGTGACCAGTACAATCACAATTAACTTGGCTGGGAGACTGCTGGGAATACCAGGTGCAGCAGATGGGGGAGCAGTGATTTGTCCTTCCCTAGCAAAAATTGTGTGTGTGTTATGATTGTTAAGCAATGTTATAATGTTGTTATAAGGCTGTTTTTTCATTGGAGTTGTATTTTGTTTCAATCGTACATATTTGAGTAATCCTTTATTATTACTCTGTCTGCATCTCCAAAGGTCAAAATTCTCTGTTACACCTTGTGATGTCACGTAATGGTACTTTTCATATTAACAGCCACTCTTTACATATAGTTCAGAAGACATTGGAAATTCCAGGGCTGAAAATACCCAAATTCCAGTGAAGGTGTATGGAGTTTAAAAACAGTGGAGCATTTCCTGTATTACCACATGACATCACAAGGTGGAACAAAGTGTATTCTGTTTGAGAGAAGAACTCCTAAATATCCAGGGTCTGCCTTTTAAACATGTGTGAATGAAACAAAACACAACTCCAGGTATGTTTTTGATGAGGAAACATAATAACATACATCAGAAAATAGTATAAAATGGGCCCTTTAACAGAATGGATTTCTAGAAGTGTTCCTATAATTCTTTTGAGCAGTATAAGACATGCTGATGTGAATTATAGGATGACAATATTTGAAGCATTTAAATTTATATCAAAGTTTAAAAAAAAACACACAAAAAAACTGATGTGTTTATACTTGCACTGTCCATACATGTTTGTGCTTATACCTTTTTGTTTTTGCTGAAAGAGCCCTGCTACCAGACACTTGGCAGATTCAATAGTCCTCCAAATATTAGTAGAACGAACGCTAAAAAGGGAAAATGAACACAAATATTTACGTTTAGCTAAGCGGTGAATTGATAGTATAATGTGTGTTATGTTTAAGCCTGTCACAATAACGAATTTTGAAGTGCTAAATACTGCTGAAATAAATACAGACGATCAACGATAATATTGAAACCAAACTATAAAGCAAAGTTACCCCCAAAAACTATTCTAAATGTACAATATTGTTTAAAAATATAATCTGAATAAATAAATGAGTTATAAAGGTTCATAATTCAATCTTCAACAGGTCAAATATTATTGTAAAACAGAAAAATAACCAAAATGTTCTCACTAGTGCGAAGAAGAAGTACCTACTATAAACAGTGACCCCCAAAAAGTATGTCATGTGTTGAAGGGTATAGTAATTATCATGACAGGCCTAGTTATATTGCCATGAGAACACGTACTAGACTTCAGCTGGACTAAATGCAGGAGAAAGAAAGGGGCTGTCTTCAATGTATCTCTGCCTCAGCCTTTTGCCCAGTTCATAGAGCTGCTGCATGCCCAATGTGGTCAGCTGACCGGCAAATGAGCCGCCCTGACAAATAAACACAACACAACCATTAGGTCATTATTAGATTGCATCCTTAGTCAAACACACACACACACACACACAACTGTGGACTGGAGCAGAAACATGTGGTCCATACAGCAATAGTCTATATTGTTGGATTTAGGGTTTAATCTAATAAGCAAAACCTCATATGGAAGCAACAACAGCATACAATGCAAGTAAATGTAGGAATCTTAACTTAATAAATAGAGTTGCATCACACTGAAGCCTTGTTAATGTTAATTCATGACCACTAGATGGAGTTATAATTCAACAATCTACATTTGCCTAGACTGCATAAATAATATAAACAAACATATACAGTGTCTGACATTTGCTAAGCCTGAAGTAATGTGATTTCAGCTTCTAAAACATTATATATGGACGGAACAATTGAAAGTTTTGTAAGATAGAGAAATAATTCAATCATTGCATTGCAAGTGACAGAAAACTGTTAATTTAAAAATCTCTTTTCTCTTAAAGTTTTGTTAGCTCTGTTAAACAAAACACACCTACTCACGCTCAAGACATTTTTCCGATAGTCTTCTTCCAAAGGAGCAAAAGGTCTGGGGCCGCCGTTGAGATCTGTTACAACAAAGTCAATGTGGGTGTGTGGGGGAGGCTCCAGGAGAGTTGGTACCCACTGAGCCTTCAAAACATGTAAGTATGGTGGTTAAACTATTAATATTAGTCATATTTAACATAATACAAACAAATTTACCTCCATAATGTTAGGAATAGTCTTCAGTGGGGTCCGTGCACCATGTCGGAACAAGACTTGGACCAGTTGAAGCTCATAAGGAGAGGCAAGGTCACTATCTGAGGTGCTGCATGTTCTACTTGGACTGGCCTCATCTGTTTTCTGTGACCACAGAATAGAGCCAAATGCAGCAGAAACCGAACCAATGATGCCAGCATTCACCCAAAGTTTTTTCATGGCTGTAATTAAGATTTAAAGCACAAATGGAAAAAATGGTTACTCATCACAGTTGTGCAATCATATTTCATGCAATAAAATGTTATTATTATGTCTCCCAGTACTCCAGCAGTGCATTTTAAAAGGCATACTTCCAAAATGTGGCTTTTTCATAATCTCTGATAAAGCTTATCAAGTGACAACAAAGGCCTTTTACAGACAAGAATGATTGCCACAGATCCTTTTTCTAACTGACAGACCTGTGGCAATATTGAATGCCAGATCAGATCACCGGGTTATTTCTTATTAATAATGTATAAGCGAAGAAAAAATAAAAACTACTAGTACAAATATTTTACATTGACAATAAAATATAAAAGTTTCTTGTAATACACAGTGGTAAATAGTAGTTTAACAATTTAATACGTCAGAGTACACTAAAGTAAAACAATAGAGTTTTGGTCTTTAGCTGTATATAAATATATTCTTTATACAGTTTTGGTCTTCAGGTAAATTCTTTCAGAATAGCTTCCTGCAGCTTGGACACACAGCTAACCTGTAAATAACAAGCCAACCAAACCGGAATCCCACAACTTTTTTATTTTTTTAAGTTAAACTACTTTATATATATTATCTTTAACTAGGCGTGACATAAGACAAAATATCAACTTACTTCTTATTTGGAAGAGACGAGCTGCGTTCAGTGTTCACTTGTTACGAACCCCTGCTCCATACTACTGAACCCGGTTTGTGTCGCAGAGCATCATGGGATCTGTAGTGACCTTTACCTCTTATTTTAATGAAAGAAGGAGAATGAAAACGACATTTCCCAGAAGTAGCATAACATTTCTTCCTCTACAGTTTATGCTCCAGCTGCTGCTACGAGGTGCACACTGTCGCCCTCTATCACGATCATACGGACGTACATTTTGACAAAATGGTTAAATTTGTCTGAAATTGAAAGTAAAGTAGACTTTCTGCGCGGAGAATTTAAAATTCCTGGCACATATCTGGTATGTAATGCTTTGTTATATGATGTTTTCTTTATGTTTCTTTGAAATGCTCCCTAGTTAAGCCATTTCAAACAGTTTATTTAGCCATATCACAGCAGATCTCAATCCTTAATGCTAATCTGGCTAATTTTCGATTAAAATTCAGAAACACGCCAAGGGAAGCGGTTTAAAATGTAATTCTTTATTCATATATACTGATGTGAATTCTTTTGTTTACTCCACTGCCAAGTGAAATAGCTGGAACATAAATGCACAAGACACGGATGATTTGTCACAATCCAACAAGAAACAATTTTAAGAAATGAAAGAAACTAGTAACCTGAATGTGTATATATAAAACACAGTTTGACATAAGTGAACCATACACACATAGCTAAACATTTATTATTTACAAATAAAAATGTATAAGGAGAAGTGCAACGTTGCCACCTAGTGGCTAAATCTCTTCGGCATCAGAGGCATCAAACATTCTGTCTTCGAATGTGTTATGAAATATTAAAATGAAAAGTTTTTGTTTTGGTTTTTTTTACCGGGTTTTTCACACGATTAACGTCGTAATATTCTGTACTCTGGGTGAAAGTGTTCATCACATTTTTATTATTGCCCTTGGCATATAGGAATGCTTTTCTAAAAATATATTGTATAGTGTTTTAAGGCACTGACATGAGTTTTGTATTGCAAGATTTGACAACAAATCTCTTTATGCGTCATATATAGTGCAGTTTCTGGGTGCCATTCACTTTACAAGTTCTGTGGCCTGGTTTTAACCATTTGCTTTCATGGTTATGTGCAATTATTTGAGAACATCTCACCCTGTAAAATAGTTTTGCAGTTTGTTTTTTTCAAGCATTAGAACATTTTACAAAACATATATTGTCAAACATTTTATCTCTCACAGTCAATCATATCCAGCATTTTGTCACTCAAACCCTCTTGTGCTTTATATTTTCACAGTGAGTCTACACGGCTAAGTCGTCTTGGCGGGCTCTGCTACTGCTCCCGCTGGTCTTGCTGAGGCGGCGCTTGTCCTTGCTGAAGTTGGACTGCATCAGAGGCGACTGTGGGCAACTGTTGGGCATCTGCGTGGGCACCTGCTCGTACCTGATCCTCAGAAAATCCCTGTCGCACTCCTCATTGTCACAGCTGTGGTGTCTTTCTGTGGCCAGATTCACTGAGTTCTGCTGCAAAGCCATCCTGTTGTTGAAAGGATGTGAGGCCATGGAGCTCTGGTCTGATAAACACTGGTTGAAGTCTGGGGGCGGAGTGCAGGTGGAGGGTCGTGGGGGGCTGTTGGGTTCGTGAGCCGTAGACACAGACACCTTCACTGCCTTTTTCTTCATCGTCCTGTTGTGTACACACTTTTTAATGCTCTTCCAGCCCAAGTGATACAGCTCCAAAATCGAAAGCAACAAAGACACACCTGCAACCACCAGCATGAAAATGATGAAGACGTTTTTCTCTGTGGGGCGTGACATGTAGCAGTTGACCGGGTTCGGACAGGGCCAGGACTTGCATAGATACAACGCTTTAAGGAAGATGCCATATATGAGATACTGCACAACAATAAATGTCACCTCCATCACTGTTCGGATTAAGATGCTCAAGATGTAAGTCTGTAGCAGGGCCCCTTTTAGCCTCACTTTTCCAGGCACTTCAGACAAGACTTCCCTCCGGCTTTCCTTTTGCTGGATGTACTCCTTCTCCCCATCCAGGTCCTCGCCGCTCTCAGCCCCACCCTCCTCCAGCTCCTCTTGGCGTTTGCGCTTTTCCTCCCGCCGTACGATGTGCATAGCGTGACCCATGTAGATCAACGATGGTGTGGAGACAAAGACAATCTGTAGTACCCAGTAGCGGATGTGGGCAATGGGGAAGGCGCTGTCATAGCATACATTGGTACACCCAGGCTGTTGCGTGTCACACAAGAAGTCACTCTGCTCATCGCCCCAAGATGATTCGGCTGCTGTGCCCAGAACCAAGATCCGGAAAATAAACAGCACGGTGAGCCAAACTTTTCCAACAGATGTGGAGTGTTCCTGGACCTCCTCTAAGAAGTTCCCAAGGAGACTCCAGTCCCCCATCACTGCTCACACACTGCACTGGGGGCCAGAGAGAGACTACAGCGGCAGGACCACGGGAGGAAGGTGCAGGCGAGGTTCTGTATCAAAAACAGATCAGAGCATCAAGTTAGTCTGATGGCTGAGAATATTTTTATTGGGCAGTGAAGCTATAAAACTGAAGTATTGACTTGTTAATAGTCAATATAATCCCCAAAACATCCTGTACTTGTAAATAAAATCCAGTTTCATAGTTCCTTTGTGAATTAAGCACTACATTTATTATTATTAATAAAAGTTAAAGTTATTTTATTGACAGAAAGCTGACATTTATTCAGACTTAGACTCAGACAAACTTTATTGATCCACAAGGGAAATTATTTGGACACAGTAGCTCACACATATAATATAATAACAAAGAGCAACAATATAAATGATAGTAATAAATTCAAAATAAGTAGCAAAAATAGCAAGAGACTGGTGTCAAATTTAGTTTTCTTTTTCAAATTCTACAAGATGCTATGTATATGGCATGACCTTTTTGCAGCAACTACTGGTAAATTTTTTTTATATATAGGTCTGTTTAGATGGCTCTTTGTCATGTTGTGAAAAAAAATAAATCCATACGCTTAGATCTAAAAATAACTAATGCCTTTGACTAGACTATGGCCTGAGAAGTCAGCATTTTCCAAAAACATAAAGTTCAAAAGTCATGTAAAAATACACAACATGCATTTTTAGGGAAAATAATTTTCTTTTGCCTTTGAGATATTTACGTTTCTCATGTCCCAGATTCCAAATTGTGTGAGTGACAGACTGAGCGATGGGGCGCCACGGGCCATGTCAAAGCTGGGAGACTGTGTCCTCTGCTTTGACCCAGAGCTGCCCAGTGCTGCCTTAAGCACACTCAACTTCACTGTGATACACCAGATTTCACATCCACTATTGTCACGTCCAACTATTTCTAATGATTAAGCCCCTTTCAGTATTGTATGTAATAAGCAGTTATCTCAAAGTGTTGATCACATCTCCCCCCTTCTGTGCCGAAAGTGCTCCTTCCACTGACCCCAGCATTAGTTTGGTTGGAACCCAAACATGGCAGGATCGCGAGCTGGTGTGTGTCAGCCATGGATGACTTTATAAGGCATTTTACCAGCCAGCTTAATGAGTGCTATAAACGCCCCCCATCATCTTGAGGTCAAGAAAGCCCATCCAAACTACATGCAGGGACTATCTTTATATTTTTACACATGCTCAGATAAATAAAACCCTAACTTTGCCATTACAAGATCAAAGGGGGGAGATGAGTTACAGCATGAAGAAAAAGATTGCTGGAAATAACAAGCTGACAGGTTTTTCCAACACGTCACCCAAGTGGACCTACTACCGTACTTGGGGAAGTTATTGGAAATATACATTCTTTTTAAAAAGCAGGAGTTTATGACAAATGTTGAGGAAAAAGCTAGAATAACAAGAAGGGTTAGAAAGACAGCCAAAGAGCTCCTTACCACTATTCATCTCTTCCAGACAGAACAATTCCCTATAAAGATAGTTAACGCTGTCCACTGGCTTTGAGCTCGCCTGGATCACACTAGCCCTGGTTATGTGGTGCGAGGGAGTGATGGTCAACAGTATCTGACCCCCCTCCCTCCCTTTTTGCTCCTCGGATGTGTGGATATATATGGCAATAAAATTTAAATTTAGATCATTGTGGTCTTCTATGTTGAGGTGCCAAGAGCTGCACAAAATGGGAGCATGTGTGAAGGAAACATCTATCCATGCCCAAGGCTGAAACTCCAAAGGAATTAAGTAAAGTGTTTTTCCTGTCTGCCTAATGGAGCTGGCTACAATAAATGAGCTTTGAGTCACAGATTTAATGTTTAACAGGAGTGATACTTTAAAGGTCAGGCCACCCCACTATAAAAGTTACACAAAACGACTTTAAGTTCATTTATTGTTGTGCATATTGCCAGAAAATTTCCTATATTAAAATGTTGTATTTATCGTGCTCCTCAAGTATTTAAAGGTTCTGTATGATGCAAAACTGACTCTTGTGAGCTTTTAGCCATGTTATAATGTTGTTACTAGGGGTGTAACGATATCCAAGTCTCACGATACGATATCGTCATGGTATGAACCTCACGCTACGATAATTGTTGCGATATTGTGGGAAAGCTCACGATATGGTGGGGAGGATCACGATTAGAGATGGAACAATATCCAAATCTCTCGGTATGATATTTTCATGATATACATCTCGCAGTACAATATTTATTTATTATTATTTATTTGTGGAGCTAACAAAACTACTATGCTACTTTTTCCTCTTAAAATGCCTTGACAAGACTTAATCCAAAGAACCAAGACTTAAAAGTGCTTAGAACTGTTATTTCTTCTTGTAGTCTGCACTGAAATGGAGCAAAGGATCATGGTCTATGTAGTTCCCTCTGTCTTTTTTAGTTATTGCTGCATCATAACTCTTAATTTAATCAAAGAAACTTGTAATTCAATATATTGTGATGGTCCACGATATTATTGTGAGACTTTTGACGATACGATATCACAATATTTCGGTTATTGTGACATCCCTAGTTGTTACTGCCTCAAAAACATACCTGGATACCACCTTGTGATGTTATGAAGCAGTAGTTTTCACGTTAAGTACCTTGTATCTTTAGTTCAGTAGTGATTAGCAATTCTAGGGCTGAAATCATCCAAATTATTCTAGTGAAGGTGTATGGAGTTTAAAAACATTAACCCTAACACTAACAATCAAGGTGGAACAGAGTGTTTTTTTGTCTGAGAGAAGAACTCAGCCTAAATATGCAGGATTTGTGTGTTAAACATGTGTGGATTAACCAAAACACAACTCCAGGTATGTTTTTATGACTAAACAACGTTATAACATAGATCAGAAAATAGCATAATACAGGACTCTTAGCTCCAATGACTGATTTATTGTCACTTGCCCCTGTTACTTGTGTAGTCTAACCTAATGCTTGTCCTGTTCTCTTGTATTTCCTGACTATTCCACATTGTATCTTCCTGTTCTCAAAAGGAAGCAATCCCAAACAATATCGCTTCCTAAGGACAAAGGTGGAATCCAATGTTACAGTCTTACGTGAAAGTGTCTATTGTCCCACCACTAATAACCAGGGACTCACTCGCACACATCATGGCTTTTGTCGAGCTGCCTGGAGATGCTCCCGCTTGTCATTTGTGTTTATAATATCAGGGTTAGATTAATGGGAAGGTGATGGGCATTCTCTTAACTATTTCCTTATGACATTTTACGTGCGTGCAGGGTGGGTTAGGCCTGTCACGATAACAGAAATTATGTTATTGAAACTACTTTATGTGATGTAATAACGATAAAGCAGGTCAGTCCTAGTAAAGCATCTTTTCATATATTGTATCATTAAGGGATTAAGGCCTGAGCTAGAACAAATAAATCTGAGAATGAACCAATAAGTAGTCCTGGAAGTTACTTTTTCAACTTTCAAGAGCTCAAGTCTTACAGTATCACATAAAAAAATAGCAGAAACCTTCCCAAAAATATGCACGGTGACTGGCCTATGTGGAGGAAGAAACCAAATACATGTACTGAAAATATGGACTCAAACAGAATACTTAGTAATTTTGTGTAACTATATGCAGATGCAGTTAATTTCGTGGCGTTCAAAATATAGTTCAAGTGAAAGGAATACATAGCGGCACTTGATCACACAATTTGGGCTCTGATCTGCTCAATAGACAATAAAGAAAACACCATTATTGTGATATATATGCTGTATAATACAAATACTTCTCTAAGCTGTTTTAAGTCTATATCATTTCTTTTACGTCATAATATATTGCAACTTAAAATTAAAGTATTCTAAGTATTCAGATTGAACCAATGCAGTTATTCAATGTTCTCTAAGTAAATACATTTCAAAGTATTCTTTCCAACTCTGTGTGTGTGTGTGTGTGTGTGTGTTCTTCAGTGTAATGGGATCTACTGCATCAGCTGTAAAAGTGTTATAGTCACTGTGATAAAGAGAGATGTGCGTTTGAAGTGCAGCCAAAAAACTACAAGCATCTAATGACTTTTGCCTGTGGCAGCTGTTTTGCACTGAACTGGAATGTTTGAACCATAGACTGTATAAAGAAGTGGACTGAGGGAGTGCGATGTCACCCATAGTGTCCAGTCAAATGAAGCTCACAGAGGCTGGCAGTTATAGAGTGACTTTGGAGCCAGTTCCATGTTAGGAAATAGAAAAATAAAAACACCAGGATCATGTAGAACAGGTTACAGCAGCAGTTACAGAGAGAGGGGCTTCAATTTTTTTATGTAAAGTCAATGGAGCTGGAAGCGTCCCCATGCTCTCTTCCTATTTAAACACATTTATAAATAGAGATAGAGAGGCTTGGATGGATTTTGGACAGTGTTTTAAAAGGTTTAGGAATCTCTATCAGCTAATATTGTCTTTTGATTTTTTTTTCTGAAATTCTGGGATTTAATTGAAATTTCTGGAAAAGTAGGCCTCGTAAATATTACTCATTGTGCCCTGGTTAGTCTGGATAAGGCGCCACAGTACATATACAATACTTCATTTCCTAATTTATATTTCCTTTCCTCTTGTCAGGAGTCTGAACTGTCTGAAACTTGAAGACTCTTTTGGACCTTGTTGGATACAGCTCAGCCATCCACTATGAGCACTTCTCAGGGATGCATTTCAGGTATCGATAAACGTAATTATGTAGAGTTGTAATTGTAAAAAAAAAAAAACATATTTAATTTTCTTGCTTCTTGTTTCTGATCTGTTATCTGTTATAATACCGGTATTTCCTTGTCAAAAACATATCTGGAGTTGTGTTTTGTTTCATTCACACATGTTTAACACAGAAACCCTGCATATTTAGGTGTTTTCAGTTCTTCTCTCAAATTTTTGTTTGATACAACTTGTGGTAATGTGGGACATGCTCTACTGTTTTTTTTAAACTCCATGCACCTTATCTAGATTAATTTTGATGATTTAAGACCTGGAGTTGCCAAGTGGTGTTGAACTAGCAACAAAACAAAACAAACTTCCAAGTGTGTTTCTGAGGAGGTAACAACATTCTAACATGGCTAAAATCTCACAAGAGTCAGTTTTGTACACTAGAGGACCTTTAATTGATTTAAAATTATAATATTTTAGTTGATCTGAACAAAGCTGATGTAATATTGAGTGTAAGTGACAGTTTTGGTTCATTATGCGTCACCTCACAGCAGTGCAGCGTGTAGAGACCAGCCTTTGTTAAAATGCATCTATAAATCGTCGGACATGAACACGTGTTGGACCAGCTCCACACTTTTCTCACTGTGAAAGTCTGAGATGAAGGAAACACCTTGTCACTTGTGATGTTATTATTCAAGCTTATCGAAATGAGCTATTGTGCCAAGCTGACAAACAAGCTGGGAGTTTATTTACTTTTTACACCACAACTGAACACCGCCGCTACTTATTCTGTTTGTTATTTTATGAAGTTAGATCATAGAATTAAATTGTTGGCAGATTTAATTGCTATTCACTGTGCACTCTATAACAATCTGTGTATCATTTGTTCATTTGTTTTTCTAAATAAAACCAAAAATAAGAACATGGAAGAAAAAAAACTATTTTCTTCATTATTTGTCTCAAAAACCAAAATGAAAAAACAGATAACGATTTATTATCTAAATCAGGACTAAACCAGGACTAAAACTGTCTCAGTCCTGGTCTCAGTCCCAATCTCAATCCTGGTCTGGTCCCGGTCTGAGTCCCGGTCTCAGTCCTGGTCTGAGTCCCAGTCTCAGTCCTGGTCTGGTCCTGGTCTGGTCTCTGTCTCAGTTCTGATCAGTCAACGCAGGCGCACCTCCGGGTCCGTCCCAACACTTGGTTCAGTCCTGGTTTAGTCTGGGTTTAGGACTGAGACCGGGACCAGGACCAGGACCAGTACTGAGACCAGAACCAGACCGGGACTGAGATTGGGATCAGACCAGGACCAAACCAGGACCAGACCTAGACTGGACTGCGACCAAACCAGACTGAGACCAGAACTGAAACCAGGACCAGATCAGGACTCAGACTGGGACCAGAACTGGACTGAGACCGGGACCAGACCTGGACAGAGACAGGGACTGATACCAGGACTGAGGCAGGTTACCATTATTCATTTAAACACAAAATCGTTATCCATTTTTTCATTTTGGTTTCATTTTGGAGACAAATAATGAAGAAAATTGTTGTATTTTTCATTTTCTTATTTTTAGTTTTATTTTGAAAAATGAATGAACAACTGATACATGGACTGTCTAACATTTCTACTTGAGGGATGCCACCTGCTTGTCTCCATGGAAATGTTATTGCTTTGTCTAGAATATTCCACAGTATATATTAAACCCATCTATCATAAGGTAGACATGGAGGTTACAGCACTACTTTACATTACATTTCACAGAAAGAATTATTGTATTTTTGAACAACAGAAACACCTGTAATGAATAAATGCTAGATGTATGTGTTTAAAATCATACTGTGGAACATTTCAGGCAAAGCAACAACATCTCTATGGACACAAGTAAGTAGCGGACCCTCCACCAGAAAAGTTGCGCAGTGCACCTTTATATAACGATTTATATTTTAACTACTCTTCTGTTACTGACCATATCCAAGGATGAAAATAAAACATTCAATTTCACTGTTTGATTTTGTAACTTCCTGTTGGTAAATCAGCAGTCTTGTTAAACCTTGAGAGGCATGTGCTGTTGTGATTTTGGTCTTTACAAAAATGAATTAATTGAATAGAATAAACAGTTTGTAGATTATATAATGTCTCTAATCTGATGCATACATACGCTGTGACTGTAGACAGAGTGCAGATGACCAGGAGCTTAGACTTTCTATACAACGTAAATACAAAAGGATCTACACAAAATGGTTTCTAGTAGCTGGTAGTTTACACTGGTGCCCTTTGTCATCATACCATCCTAATGTATCCGACCCGTCCACTCAGAGATGTGCCTCTCGTAGGACGGTGTGTTTGGACTGACCTTCACGAAGACTTACGTATTCATAGTTGTTGAACATTTGGTTCCACTGTGTAATAGAGGATAGGTGGACAGTAATGTACGCATCATTAACAAACCTATACTGTACTGTAATCTGGAAAAAGGACCGTTTTATTTGACATTTTCTAGTGGGACAAATTTAAACTGAGTAAAACCAAAACAGCTCTGACATTGTGTTGTAGATAGGGCAGCATTATAGATCAATGTCTCCACTGTCACTCTTGTTTTTATTACAAAAGCAAATGTGACCCAGTTTCATTTGGTCTTTTTCATTCTTAAATAATGCCTTTACTTAATGATTAAAAAGAAGAATATCTAGTAACTTTTTATTCAACACTAACTCTGCCTCTGCTTTGGAGCATTTTTTGTAAGAAAATGTGTGGTTTTCATCTAAATATATCTCTGATCAAATATTTTGTCAAACCACAAGATAACTATTTTATAACATTTTTACTTTAAGGTTGCATTGTGTAACTTTTCGGTGGAGGGTGCATCTTTGTTTTTCTGCTATTGACTATTCAATTACAGGTGGTTTTATAGGTCAAAAATATCTAGAAGAACAGATATTCTGACTGTGAGCAGGGTCGCCTCTTCACAGATCTGACCTGTAACTTGGCCTTGTTTGGTCTCCATGAAGACAGAAAAGTTTATGCCATACTGTGAAACATTCCAGACAAAGCAATAACTAACATCTCCATGAAAAAAAGCATTTGACAGACCAACACCAGAAAATTTACACAATGCACCTTAAAATATTTAGTTTATTTTGATGTTATTCTTTATGTTAGAATTCTTCTAGATTTCTTTCATACAATATTAAACTTGCTTGAACTCACTTGAATAATTTGAGAAAGTGAACAGTGGTGGGTGTGGTGAGATGTTATTACTTTGTCTGGAACAAGCAGGTGACAGACCCCCAACCAAAAAAGTATCATAGTGCGCCATTAAAGGTAAAATGCTAGCAGATAAAAATGATCATTGACGTGCCCTGAGACTTCTGTTTATCAGTGTGATTTTATTGGGCTTTATTTGATTTAAATAAATGAAAATGTGCCATATTTTAATGAGTATTTAATATAATTTATTCCACATGCTGCACCCATGCTCTCTGTTCTGGTACTAAAAATTTGTATTTATGTAGATAGTAACTGGCTTTGAATTATGCGCTCCAGAAACTCAAGACGTATGTGAATATTGGTAATGGCTGAATTAAACTGTCAGCTACTAAGTGTTTCTAATTACTGTTTGGAGTCAGCTGTTATCCTATGCAGTGGCACCATCGTGAATAATGCGCATGATTGACATGATAGATGTAAGTCTGAAGCTGCACTTGTGTCTATTAGTGGCAGCGCTATTAACACGTGCCGCAGTCAGTCCCACTCAAACAGCAGCTGGAGTGTCTCCCACGGGGTTAAGGATTACACAGGAGAACTGAGTTGGGTTAACTATAGCTGTGGTGGCATTGGCTTTGGCATTGGCACTGGCATTGGGTGAGTCTGGGTTTGTGTGACCTACTAAATCAGACCCGGTCATTGTCCAGCTCATGGCCCTTTGGTTGACTGGCCCGTTTCAGCTTTTTTGGAATTATAAAAGGCAACCTCATTTTTTCATTGCTAAGTCATAACATAAACTCTTAAAAGTCAGCTTGTCAAAACATGCTATTTACTTTGCTTTTTATAAAGAAATACAATTAATATTCTGCAGCATTCCGTTGAACATTTTGGCCCAGCCCTCCGCAATATTTTCTGTTTCGCATGTGGCCCCATGGAAACAAATAATTGCCCAACCCTGTACTAAATTAATCCAGCGCCAATATTTCTCATCGCAATTGTTCACCTGTCATCGCCACGCAGACTCTGTTCGTAGTGGTTGCCTTACATGGTTGTTTGGATCTTCAACTGCCCAAGCGTACACAGACCTACAGCATTGTTATGATCTACACTATTAGTTATCTTCAGACAGTGGTGGATGTAAGTAACAAGTGGAAGTACTCAATTTTGTTATTTAAGTAAAAGTACAGATTCCCAGGCAAAAGAGTACTCAAGTAAAAGTAAAAGTATCACATGAAAAAACAGCTTAAGTAAAAGTATTGAAGTGCCTGTTTAAAAAAGCTTTAAGGGTGCACTGTGTAACTTTTTGGTTTGGGGTGCACCACCTGCTTTTTTCTATGGATATGTCATTGCTCTGTCTGGAATGTTCCACAATATGACATTAAACACCTTTACCTTACATTTATTCAGTTACTAATGGTTTTATAGCTCAAAAATACCAAGAAAAACAGGCATTCTGACTCCACAATTCTAACCTGTAACTTGGTCTGGTTTGGTCTCCATGAAGAAAGAAATATTTAATGCCATACTGTGAAACATTGTAGTCAAAGCAATAACAACTCCACAGAGAAAGGTATTTGATGGACCCTCCACCAGAAAAGTTACAGTACGCCTTTAAGAGTAAAGAGTAAGTATTTTGCAGAGATTTTTAGAACAATTAAAGCATCAAATGTAGTGATTTTTGAAATTTTCTAGATGTTTTTTGTGTATTTGGTTTGCTCTAACTTTGGATGTTAACTGAAATTAAATGTGCTAAAAAAAAAATTGTCTTAGCCATTTCAGCAGGTCTCATAAAGAAATCATCATAAAGAAAAGTA